ATGGGTGAGAAATACAAATAAATATCCAATGTGAATGACTGTGCCCAGCACAGAATTCAGGGGGTCACCCAAGTCCAAGCAGGGGCGCGCAGTGACGCAGTGACGTGTTCATGCCGGAGTGCTGAAGGGCTGACTGAGGATAACCCTCCAGGTGGCCTGTGCTTTAATGATGCAAGAAACCCATGACGTTTCCTCCCAAATCCTTACGCTGTTTCCATCAATGGGAATTGGATTTTCATGCCATCCTTTCATCATTTCACCATGAAAATCTGTGTTGGGAGGAATTAGTGGCCCTTGTGTTACCGGTAACTAGTCAGGGCCTTCAAAGGCTTCCAAAACGCTCCATTTCGTAAGCTGGGTGGCAGGTACATGGAGCACATGAACTGTTTATATATGTGATATACTTCATAATTTAATAAGGGCACGGCCTTCATATTGTGAGACTCAAATTCGAGAGCCTAGGCACAGAAATCCGTGGACATTTAGCTAAGGATAACGCAGTCATACCCTGTCCCCTGGAACTGATGTGTTTTTGAGCCATTAATGAAATTGTGGGGGATTTACAGTTTAGTACTTAGGAGGCCTTTTTCAAGGCACCTTGAAAGTCTCTTTCTGAACGGCTACAAATTTCGGCAGTGCCAAAAAGGTGACTCAGGGTCACGTGTCCCCGAAGAAAGGCAAACCAGATCAGAGGACAGAAGACCTCAGCTCTGACCCTAGTTCCCCCACCAACAGCTCGGGACAGCTGCAAGCTGACTTCCACAGAAAACAACGTCAGAGCAGGAGGTGCTCTAACAGCCTCACACAGGAGAGCTACAAAACGCAGGCTGTGTTATGAACACAGCTAAAAGCTGCCAAACTCATACCGCTCCCATCTTCTCATGCTCGCCCTCAGGACCTTTTTACCTCCCGTTTTTGGTGTACTTATGGCAACAAGTTAAAAAATAATAATAACTTCATTATTTATCTTTTCATGATATTATTGTAGTAGTCACAGTAATCATCAAAGGAGCCGCCTACAAAAGTAAACAGCACTGATCAGTTCAATGGTGCTACAGTTGTGTCGTCCTTTGCCATTTACAATCAGTCACAGACACTTGTATGGGGAGCTCTCTCTCTCTCTCTCACACACACACACACACACACACACACACACACACACACACGAGGTGTCAGGAGACAAATGGGCAGCAATGCAGGAAGCAGATGGGAGGACCGTCTCATAAACAGACTGAGCACATGCTTCAGACATAAGAGAGCTGAGGGGCCCCCAAAAGAGAAACGAGTTTGATGAACTGACCCGGAACCCAGCAACCAGAAAAATCTAACAAACGACTAATTATTTTCAGGTTATCTGTGTGCTTATGCTTTGGAGTTTAGTGTCATTGCTATTGGTTTTTTAATTTATTTAATTTAAAGGAAAGCATCATAATCTCTTAGAATTTAGAAGCTTCAAAGGTTATCAACCAACCCTAGAAGTAGAAATCTTAACAGAGTAGAGGCGGAAGCAATAGAAATAATTTTAGCCATCTGTTCCACCTCTTGTTAGAGATTCCACAATTTTTCAACCAATAATATAAAGCCTATGATCCGAATGCAATATGCTAATCAGTTTACTCTAAAAAACCTCAGTGGTGTGGTTTACTCCATTTTATAAATAACATTAAATTAACTTTATCAGTACAAAAAAAATGGCTTTCCTCCTTAAATAAATAAAGTCAATAACGATCTACCCTCCACAGGACATAGTAGTTTAACATGTCAAATGCCTTACCTGGCAAAATATGCATGTGACATAAAATTATGAAAATGTTTACAGTAAATGCCCACGAGTGGACTAGAACAACTTTGGGGGTAAAGAGGAAAATAAATGGTTAACTGCCAGCCCACTCGCTCATGCTGGAGGACACAAAAAGGTTCACAGCAGTTGTTAAATCCATTTAGAGAAACTCACTTTATTTTTCCAACAGCGCTCTCCCCAGCTAATCTGTATTACAACCTGCAGGAGTCTTAATACTCTCAGCAGGACCAAGATTTGGGCCACACTGATTCAGCTATTTAATCTCTCAAGAGAACAATGTTTGGCAGGAAAAGACCCCACAGCACAGAGGGGGCGTCCCAGAGGTCCGCTGTCAGCACGGACGGGCCAAGACCGCCCCAGGTGGAAGCGAACAGCACTAAGCAATGCTTATCATTCCTTTCGGTAGCTCTGAGCTCGAACACGTCTGTACACTCTACATGTGCGTGGGAAACATACACATCGCAGGTGCCTATGTGGCTCTTGTAGATACATTTTAAAAGCAAAATGTTTTGTCAATTATTTTGGACCAGGTTGTGAAAAAAATCTCGTTTTGGAAATATCACTACAGAGGCTGGGGAAAGAGATGAAGAAAAATGGCCATAGTTTTATTTTCAAAACCTTTCAACTTCTTAAGCACTGAAAACCAAAGTAGAGAACATATGTATGAATTAGTAAATGTATACAGAAATTTATATTGATCATTTTTAACCATCCTGAAATTTAAAAGTTTGATGATCGACACTCTCCTATAAATGAGCACTTTCTACAGTTTATATATAATTCTATGGTTAGATTAATTTAAGAGATATTTTCTGGAAACCCATAGTGACAGGCAGGAAATACATAAGGAGACAGGCAAACTTAGAAGCAAAATTGATAGCACCAGTTTACAAAAAAGATTCAATGAAATTCTTCAACTATTTTAAATAGCCACGGCAAGGGTTCGCGTCCTGTACCTCCCAAAGCTCCCTCTGTCGAGCATGCATCACTCTGTGCAGCAATGATCTGCTCACCTGGCAGAGGATAAACTGCAAGCTCCGGAGGTCAGGGGTCATATCTATTTTATTCCTCATTATATCCCACTCCACCCACCTCCGGCAAAGGGCCTGGCACATAGTACACACTGAAAAATGTTTGTTAAGCCCAATAATTGTTTCCGAAAGTAGTTTCTTTTCAGGACTTTTTAAAATTTATGCAATCCACAGGGCCTGGTGCAACGAGATGTCCACTGCAAATGTTAAATGAATAAACACCTGTGCACATGTCAGGTAGCTGTGAAGGCCCCTTGTACTTCGATCTTATTCTTTATAGCCGAAGCACCATGTTCTGCAGAATTCAAGCATGAACAAGAAATATCACTTGTCCTGAGAGGCCTCATAATTTACACAACAAAAGTAAGTATTTAAATCAGTTTGTTAGGGGAAATCAATTCTCTCTATCAAAAATAACAAGTTTTAAGAAGAACAGAATGATTTTAAAGTGTTTTCCTTCTTTTTTTCCTAAACCTATACTTTTTTTCACAGTTTGCTAAACACAAGCAAATTTTGACATTGTAATTTTAAGGATACAGTGGTACAGAAGCTTAATTAAAACAAATTAAAGGTTTACTTTGTTACAATTAATTAATGTAACCACAAGGGGGAAAGTCAATCAGAAATATGAGCAAACAAACAAAAAAAAAAAGATCATAACTTACTGCTTTTTGTCCTTGGAGCCAAGTCTGGAGGTACTTCACTAAATAATAGGTCCTTCAAGCAGAACTATGGAGATGCTTTCAGAAGCAGCACTGCATATGATCATGAGCAGAGGAGCAAGAGGTGGTCAACAGCCTTGATTATTGTGAAAGAAAAGCTACAGTAGAAAGTACAAGCCAAAAATAAAGACAAGCAATATTTATAACATCGTTCTTCTGGGAAAATGAAGTGCAAACTAGAGAACATATCTGTATGTGTGTGTGTGTGTGTGTGTGTGTGTGTGTGTGTGTATATATATATACACATATATATATACATTTTTTAATTTTTGCTTCTCACTTTCAATCATGTAATTTTTTTTAAATTGTACAATCTTGGCTTGGGTTGGGTACCAATGAGTTTTCATCAAATCTCTATATGTCTCCCTTGATTCATGACCTCCTAATAACACTTATTAACTAAAATAACAACAGGTTTTAAACTTACCTCCAAATATCCATTGAAATTGTAATTATGTGACATAATTATTAATGATAGTCACATCTGGAGGCTCCACAAATATATATGTAAGATTTCTGGTTTTTCTTTAACATTCAGTATAGTACACACTCTCTGCAGGGATGTTCCAAATGGTACAATAAAATCTGGAAGAAAAATCAGATACTTTTTAAGTTTTAAATCTGTACATTGCACCAGAAATTGAGATTTTTTTTTTTTTTAAGCTAGTCTTGATTAGACTTTCTCTGTGGCTCAGGGATGCTTCTTTCTACTGTTACACCTCTTCCCTTTTTTTTAGAACAACTCAGCAAAATAAAATTCCTGTTTATTGTTGGACAATTTTGTTTCATACATACATCAAACAGGCCAAAAAGAAAATAGAAACAGCAACTTCATAGACAAAAAAAAAAGAAAATAAAAGAAACCTTTTTATCTTTGGCCTTTTTAACCATGTCATACAAACCAGCTACTTATAGTACAGCTAAGTACATATACGAAAAGTTGGTGGAATGCTCAGAATAAGATGTGTTGTTGTTTTTGTTTTTGATTTTTTTAACAAGGTTTTTTTTTCTCCTCTGAGATTATAATGAACATGGTCACACCACAAGTAAAGGCAGAAGCAGGACAGAGAACGCTCCAAAGGCTGGTTTGGTCATCCCGAAATCATTAAAAATGGTTGACCCCTAACAATATGTACGAAAATATCAAATGTAAATAAAAAATACAAATTTTTCTTTTTAAAGTACTCAAAAAGAAAAAAACAGGGCCTTGGTAGTTTGGGTTCTTTTCCCTCCCCTGTTGCAAATTCACGCTGTGGGTTTGGTTGGGTGGTGGCGAGTGCTGTCACCTGCAGGTGGCGCTGCCCGCGGCGGGCGGACCTCTCCACTGGAAGGTGACCACGTTTAGATCCTGAGACGGGAAGTGGAGGGTGACTAGATCACAGCGGCCTTTGTTTTTTTTGTTTGTTTGTTTGTTTTTAAGTTTAACTTTTCCTTTTTTTTTGCTGTCTAGTCATCCTCATCGGTCTTCTGCTTCCCGGTGTCAACATCGTCATCCTCATCATCTTCAGCTGCCCGTTTGCCCATAGCTGCCTCGGCCTCCTCATCTTCATCCTTTTGCTCATCATCACCTTCCTCCTCCTCCTCCTCCTCCTCCCTTCCTTCTTCATCTGCCTCACTGTCAGCCTCCTGCTCCCCATTTTCCTCACTAGCGTCCCCATTAGCAGCTGCGGCTCTTCCATTCTCTGCCGCCTCCACAACTTCCTTCTCCATGAAGCCCTTGGGGACCCCCGAGCTGTTGTCCACCGCCGCATCTGACACGGTGGGCAGCCGGGATCCGACGCAGCGGGTTGAGAGAGAGAGAGAGAGAGAGAGAGAGAGAGAGAGAGAGCGCGCGAGCTTGAAGGCTCTGGAGAAGAAGCTGCCAGAAGCTGCCGGAATCCGTGGCAGCGGAGGCGCCCGGCCAGCTGAGAGGCAGCCGTAGGAACCACGGTGCAAAGATGGCTTTTCAGAAGGGGAGGGGGCTTTTTTTTAATCCTCACCCGAAGGTATTTTTCTATTTATCATCTGATAGAGTGGGAAGGGGAGGGGGAGGAGGAGAGAGAGAGAAACATCTACCTAAGAGACACACGGATTGGTTGTCTCCCGCACAACCCTGACCAGGGCCCGGGATGAACTGCAACTGAGGTCCGTGCCCTTGACCTAATCGAACCCGAGACTTTGATCTGTGGGTCCACACTCTAACCACTGAGCAAGACTGGCCAGGGCTTCCCTCCTCCTTCACCTCTGCCCAGGCCAAACTGTGAGTGATCTGCACAGCTCAATTGAGACCTGGAAAACTTAGTAACATAATTACTACAGCTGTAAATTATCTTTGTTTCTATAAATGACTGTTGCTTACAAAAACCACAAATAAAGAGGCTTGAAAGGGCCAATAAAGGATTGAAAATAGGACCTAGAAGGAATTTTGTTTAATTAAGATTATTCAGTTTGGAAATAGGAAAAAATAACAAACTGATTGTATACATCTTCTTGGAACGAACAGGAGGTGCCATCCACCTCCGCGGGCTACACGGTGTATATTACTTCATTGTCTCCACACGACCCGGTGATGTACGCAGATTATTCCTCATTCAGACCTGTTGTGAACTGAATTGTGCTCCCGCCCAAAATTCACATTTTGAAGCCCTAACCCCCTGTGATTGTATTTGGAGATGGAGTCTTTAAGAAAGTAGTTAAGGTTAAATGAGGCCATTAGGTAGGCCTACTCGGTTGGTGCCCTTAACAGTGGTTCTCAACCTTCCTAATGCCGCGACCCTTTGATCCAGTTCCTCCTGCACAACCCTGCTCCTCATGTTGTATGTGGGCGAATCTGCATGGGGGCGGACCCGCCTGGAGACAGACAGAGGAGGGTGTCTCGGTTCCTAAGGCCATCGGAAATAAGTGTTTCCCGATGGTCTCAGGCGGCCCCTGTGAAGGGTCGTTCCACCCCCAAAGGGGTCTCGACCCACAGGTTGAGAACCGCTGCCTTAAAAGAAGTGGACGAAACACCAGAGATTTTTTTCTCTGATGCACACGCACCAAGGAAAGGTCATGTCAGGACATAGCAAGAAAGTGGCCTCTGCAAGCTAGGAAGAGAACTCTCAGCAGAAACCACCTTCTGGACTTGATCTGGGACTTCAGCCTCTAGAACTGTGAGGAAACTGCATTGTTGAAGCCACACAGCCTGAAGTATTCTGTTAGGGCAGCCTCCGCAGACTAGTGCAGGCCCGATTTTTCTGATACTTAGATACCAACAAGAATTCCCAAGCTCTGACACTTTAACAAGGGCAGTCCTTGCATTTCTAATATAATGAAAATTTTAGGTGCCACATCAGAAAGCAATTGGTCCTGCTTTGCTGAGAGAATACTGCTACAATCATTTCACGAAACTACAGAAATATTTAAGTAAAAACAGGAGGAAGTGAAAAACAGGTGCTTACCAAGCAGCACAAAAAAATGACTAATTCGAAGCAATTTTAAAACCTACCTCTTTTGTAAAGATTCAAGAGGAAGAATGTGCAAAATTAGTCAATATTTTAAATATTATTGCTTCATTCGTTTACTCAGCACAGATGTACTCTGTACCTGCTATGTGTCAAGCATTATTCTAGGTATTAGCAATTCTGTGTTGAAGGGATTGATCAGCTCCCTACTGTATTGTGGCTCTTATCCTAAAAAAAAAAAATGTATTTGCCTAGAACTTAGATGGATGGGAAGGCAGACTCCTCTGAAAAAGAAAGAAAAAAAAAAAAAAAAAAACAACTTGAGAAAATAAAAGAAATAACACCCTTAATAGAATTCAGTCATTTACTGAGCAAATATTTATTAGTTAACTACTTTAGTCTAGAGAATGAGAGAATGAAGGAAAGATCTGGGAGTTTTAAGGAAGAAAATCGATGCGATATACACATAGATCTTAATAGATGTTTGATTAAAATAAATTTAGAAAGATTGAAATTCCTTGGAATAATTGCCATTGTAAGACGGAATTCACACAATTCGAGGGGGATCCACCCCTCGAAGTATCAAGGTGGGTGTGTTTATCAAGGGCGGTCCTGCCTAAGTCACAGAGCCCACAGCCTCGCGTGGGCAGAGTGAGAAACCACTGGAAGAAGATTTGTTAGCACAAACAGTCACTTCCTTTGTTTATCAATTTTAGCTCTGTGCTAGGCCCTGGGTTCCAGAGAGAAGGACAGCCCGCATCTCCCGAGTTCAAATCCTGTGTCAGGAGGAAGAAAGCTCATAAGGCAGCCAGAGAACCAGACTGCCAGGCTGGGGAGAGGACGAGCAAGGCCCGGGAGGAGCGGGCAGCCCCTGAGCTGAGCGTGGATACGGACGGGTGCAGACGGCCTTCCAGGCAGAAGTCTGAAGTGGACAGGGCTCTAGTCCAAGGCAGACACCCAGGCTGGAGACCTCAGTTGGCACTAAGCCTGGGACAGCCTCAGGCTCCAGACTAACGGTTTTGCATTTTAGCCTAAAGGCAATGGGGAGCCACGGACAGATTTTGAAGAAGAGAGTGCCATGATTACATGTGTGTTTGAGGAACCTTGCAAGAAGCCACAGAAGAACAGCTTGGGAGGGAGAAGAGACAGAACTGTGGCAGGTGAGAACAGTCCAAGCAAGGGACAGAAAGGGCCTGCATTAAGGATGTGACAAGAAAGATAAGGTGCAAAGCACCATGATATGCATTCTTGGATATACAAAAACCAAATTGGAAAAGACATGAATAATCTTCATCTTCATGAATGTAGAGAGGTAGAACACATACCATGGGACATGCTAATTAAAACCAAAGCGTGGACCGTGCTGTGTGACATGAGCAGTACAGATAATAGTGCTATCGTGCAAAGCACTGTCATGGTTGAGAGAGATCTCTGGAGCTGGGGTCTGAGTGTGCGTCTAGGATCAGGGGCCGGGGACGTCATTCACAGATAGTGTGAGTTGTTCCAAACAAGAGGAATGACTCACGTAAAAGCCCAGAACAGAGCATGTTGGCCAGGCCTGAAAGAAATGAAAGAATAGTGTTGAAGGCAGTGACAGATGAGGTGAAAAATAATTTAGAAGCAGATTGTGGAGGGTCCTTAGAGTCAGAATTAAAGGGCTTAAGGGATTAGGCTTGATCCTCTTCAAAGTGGAGGTCCAAGGAAAAATTTTTAGTGGGTCATAATTAGGGTCTTGATGAAACAGATATTTTGGAAAGTCATATGGTGACAGTGTTGAAGATACAATGGAAGGAACAGAAAGAGCCTGGGAGGAGATAAGGCCAATTAAGAGGCTCTGCAGAAACTCAGGCAGGATAAGGGCCTGAACACCGTGGGACTGAAAAGGAAGGAATGGGTAAAAGGGATTTCACAAAAGACGATCTTCAGCAATCATTTGCTGGATCCTTAATCTTTGTTTCCAAAAAGAAGTCATACGTGTTAATTCTTTTATTATGGGGCCCTTGCCAAGGCTCTCCTTCAGACAATGCCATTTTATAACCACAACTCTTGTACTTGCCATGCACAAGTAATTACTGGTCTGGGATGTATTTGTTTCTTTAAGTGACTGTGGCTAAAAAATTGAGGATAAAAAGAAGAGATCAACCTTTGAAGTTCTGCCCTAGGTGGAAAAATAAAGCAAAACCAGGTGTTAGGGAAACCACAGATTTGGAAATAAGAAAGGACCACGAGGTAATTTTCCGTACATTTTTCTCATGAAAGTATAAGTATTCCTCATAGAAATACTTTCCCCGAGGAGAGGTTGTTCAGGGGCTCTAATGAGACTGGATATGTCAAAGTGTTTGAAAGGAATAAGCATCCATACACGTGTTAGGTATTAGAAGGAAAATGCATGTTATTGCCCTATCACTTTCTCTGACACAGTTGATCTTTGCTTTAAAATAATGCTGCTGACCCACTATCACTCTAGAATGCATGAGAGCCACCGGTTGAGATAAGCTGGAGATAAAGTTTGATCCATTAAAGTAACATGTAAATTTACTATGTGAAAATAATAGACTTCAAGGGCTTAAATGGAAACCACTGACCTCATAACCAATCGTCTATGCTAATCAACCCAGTTTCGAGTTATAACAAAAATACCATCCCATTCTCCTTTCAAACGATTTATTGTACTAGATTTTACTACTCAAAATTAGAAGATTTCTTGTAAGTTTTCATTAGTTATAAAACTGTTAGGCTTCTTGTATAAAGGAACCAAATTAAGAATTTTTTTTAAATTTTAACATTAAATGACTTTCTAACTTTTACTTTTCATGCCTCAAAAAACAAACAAACAAACAAACAAAAACAAACTTTGTAAATGTTTGCTGAATATGAAGAGAAAGACAAATCCTGTGTCAGTTGTTCGGGTTCATATAAGATCTAATTGCCTCATACACCCTAATTGTGCCACCAGTTTACAATTAGCATGCATTTCTCATGCATGAGTTGACCCAATTACATAACAAATTTTGCCGTTGGGGATTTCTCTTGACTGCTTGTCTCTGTCCACCATACAACTCAATTTCACACTGTCAGCAGCCTGAACATGACCACAGTCAGTCTCTGTCAAAATGATTTATTTAAATGACAAACAGAGACCAGATCTCTGGATAGTGCTCCCTACCTTCATCCTCACCCTTACACTCAACCTAACTTGGAATCAAATCTTTTAACAGTCCATAGACACTGCTATTCAATTACTAGGCCATGTTTACCTCCAATAATCTAATAATTTTTAAGTTAACTCACAAAGTCTTAGGGAACAAAATCAACGGTATCCACGTGAGCTTATTAATGAGCACATAATTTATTTTGCATTCTAAGACATCAATGAAAAATTATGTAGCCACATAAAAACAGTAAAAATAATTACATTTCAATATCAAATTACAGAGACACTCTTTTTTGCATAATGTGTTTTCAAAAGACTTCAATCTTAGCTTTTCTTGTAAAGTAAGTAAGTGTTTCTTAAGAATGGGTATGCAAAACTGAAAATGGGAGTAAAACAGGTATTCGGGAAATAGGAAAGATAACGAAAATTATAGATACTGACAGGGTAAAGGAAAGAATATAGAGCAGGTGAAAATACTATTGTCTGTGTCATTAGTGATCTAAGGAAAGGGGTTCTAGAGATTCCCACTGAAGCCAATGCACACAGGCACATGCACACATACACACAGACACGCACAATGATTTCTTGTGTATTGGGGAACAGGAACAAATCCTGACAAATCACATAATGGTACACTTAGTCAGTCTGTAAGATACGAGATTTGTCATCTGGGTTTTTTTTCCCTTCCCCTTCATAAACTATTTCTCTGCCACCTGAAATAAATTTTAAAATAAGCATTTAAATTTTATCTACAACACAAAGGTTGTAAAAGTCTCTCGAAATTGGGCTCTACCATTTTATTTCACAATGAATCCACAGACTGTCTCGGCTAATTGAAAGTGCAGCTTATATTAGTGTGTAAGCAGGCAGAATGAAATACATCAATAACCTTCTCAAGGCTGGATGAGTCCCTCAGATGTCGGCCGTGATTCGGCCTTGCTCCCTGCTGCTGGTTCCCAGAATGCACTGCTTCTAAACGTGAAGGTGGTAATCATCTGAATTAGAAACAGCCTTTCCAATTACCCACACAAGCTAGAGCTATAAGGACAACAGAGAAAAAAAAAGGTTTTTAAAAATGTCCAAAGGCACAGAAATTCCTCAATTCACATTTTTACATTGTCTTTTAAGAACATTTTCCTAAAATATCACTAAGTAAAAAAAAAAAAATGTGGAGATACATTTGGATATTTCTGTCATTTGTGAATTTATGCCCTAGAATTGGGCTGGGAAGGAAGAATGGGGGGAGGCAATAAGACATCTTCTGGAATTTCATGGAAAAAATTTTTTATTTGGGTATCAGGTCTGTTTCTTTCCAACCATTCAGTACATTCTGTAATCCGGCCTCTTTTCTTGTTCTTTCTGCAGCTCTACTGAGTAATATAGCAGAAGAATTTTAAATTGCAGCATTTAATAAATCTCCCAGGTTCAGAAGGTTGTCATTATAGACCTCAAAAGAAGTCAAGGCTAAACCCACTCTCATCTTCTCATTACACACAATTTCAAATTTACAGTTGTATTTTATCCCACACCTCACGAACATATGCAGACTGAGTGGGCATTTCCAAATGATTTTAAATCCCAGACAAATGATTATGAGAGTGTGTGAAAAAATTCCATGTAACTGACGCAGACACAAGCAATCAAAAATGCCCATTCATCCATAACGTATTACCCAAAACACCTAGGAGTTGTCATTAAATCCCTTGTTTTATGTCTTCATACTTTCTTTAGTCCAAAAGGGATTAGAAGCAGCTTAAAAAGATCCAGACAGATTGAGCAAAAAAAAAAAAAAGAGGAGGAAGAAAGAAAAAAACTCACGGACAGGGATAACAGTGTAGTGATTGCTGATTGCCGGGGGGCGGGGTGGGGGAGGGTATAGAGGGGAATAAATATTGATGGAAGGAGACTTGACTTGAGGTGATGAACACATAATACAGTGTACAGATGATGTGTTGTGAAATTGTGCACCTGATACCTGTATAATTTTGTTAACCAGTGTCACCCAATAAATTCAATAAAAAGATCCAGACATCATTCATATAAAGTAAAAACCAGTATGAAAATGAAGCAAATGGAAAAATAAATACTGTGAAGACCCTGGCTTAATTAACCCACCTACGTCATCCTGTAGTGAAGCTGGAGCTCGGATCTTGTATCCCTTATTATTTCCAGGATGAGCATCCCAGCACGTCCTGCAGAAAGAGTCTGGTGTCTGTCCAGTCTGGCCATTTTCTCACCTTCTTCATCTCAAAACAGACACAGTCCAGGCCACTGTCAAAATATCTGTCTGGCTTTGGCCAATATATTTCAGTGTTTGGGTTTATCTGAAAGTAATGTGGAAAATTGAACTAGCCAACATACTAACTTTCAGATTAGCCCATGCTTCTCATAGAAAAAAGATCTTTGGCTAATATGGAAAACCCCATGAGGTCACGGAAAAAGTTCATAAAGTTGCAGCCTTTATAAATGAATAATAAATTCAGTAGACCTCAGAATATTTAACAGTTTCCCTTCTTCAAGAGTAAATCCTAACAGTAATATTATGAAATCTATATTTTTTACTACTATCCAAATATTAATATACCTCATCATATTAAAAGTACTACTTGCAAGACTGCTATGGTTGCTAATATCAAGACAGTTGCAAAAAGGTGAAGATATCTAAATTATATGTGTTTAAAAATCAGCATTGTCTAATTATAGGCTTAATCTACATAATATTCTTATATACTGTTATGTATATGATATACATTTCTATATACATACCTGTGTTATAAGGGTTTTTGCATAATGAAGAATGGATCTGTAAACAGCCTCTGGTATTGAATAAAATGTATATTCCTGCTAATGATAAAGGTTGGTGGAATGATCAGTTCTTTTCTTATTAAATATAAATATTGACTTAATTTGAATATAAATTAAAAGGCTTACCTTTTAATCCATTGCAATCCTGATGTTAGCTGTCGTGTGGCTGTCTTAAGTAGAAATGTTTAGCTCTTTCTGAAATAAGTTTCTGTGATAGTTGAAGATTTATAGCTTTGTTTTGTGCAGCATTATTTTTATTTGTTTTAATGACAGTTCCCCAAAACTATTGTGAAAAATGAAACGCTACTGAATGTAATTTCCAGGGGAATATATCTTTAATTTGTATTTTAAAAAGCAAAAATAGGTTTTGATTTAAGGAAAGAATGAAGAAAAAAACAGATGAGGAGGGTGATCTCCAGTATTCATGAGTGGGGCTTGTTTAGATTGGGTAGAAAAACTGAGGGACAGAAGCCATGAATCCTTCAATTCAGCCCTTTCTCCTGAAGGGAAGAAAAGTCCTTCCAAAAGCAAAATGTCCATTTAAAGAGCAAACAATGGGTAAACATTAGGAGATATGAAAAAATTAAAAAGTATCTATTTTGCCTCCTCTCACACCCTAAATGTTTTTCAAACATCATTCTGTTTTCGAATTTTTGACAAATAAAATTCTTCCTAAAATTATGTACTATTCTATCTTTAAACTGTCACTATATATATATGTAATATATGATCATGTTATATATATATGTATGTATATATATGTATATATATAAAATATATATGTATATATAATGATGATAGCCAAATATCAGTGAGTTTAAAACCATTTGCTAATTAAACAATTCTTGGAAATTATGGCTACATAACATAACATTTAGATATACAAAGTTTGGCTACTATATGGTGACACACAACATAAACTTCTCATGGAAAATGTATATTTGCACATACTTTTAAATCATGTACACAGTTGTTAATTTTCATTCATATTTACTCTTGAATACCTACCATTGAACTAATTTTTTTCTGAATGAAACATATTTTAACAGACTTTATATAATAATTTGGAAGAAATATAATCACAGACATAAATTACAAAAGGTAAGAACAGCTGTTTATTCACCTTTAATTAGTACTGAATTAACACTTCAATACCTAATATGCTTTGAACTTGTTAGGCCCAATTTTCTTTTTCAAAAAAAATATACATTACTGAACAAGATGCAGCTTTCAAATTCAAAGCAACTTCATATGTAAATGTTTATTTCAAAAATTAGATGTAATACTTCATTTCTACAAATATCTAATTTAAAGTATGAAATCTTATATACACATAATTAGCAAATAAGAGATTTCTCAAAATACTTGACCTTATATGTATATTTCTGTATGCTTATCCACAGCATCAGTAAATAAATAAATGTCAGGCTTTTTAACTTAATTATGAAAGTCCTATTTTGGAAGAATTCAAAAGCTAAGAATCATTCAAAATGAAATAAGATGTTAAATTACAATAACTTTCTTTATTAAGATTTTTTTAATCCCCACTCGAGGACTTTTTTTTCCATTTTTTGTTCAGATAGAGAGGGAGGGAGAGAGAGAGAAACATCAACGTGAAAGGTACACATCGAGTGGCTGCCACCCGCACAACCCACTAGGGCCAGGGACAAACTGCCCTTAGCAGGAACCAAACCCGAACCGAACCCAAACTGAACCCAGGTCTCTCTGGACCGCAGGCCGACTCTTTAACTGCTGAGCCAAACAGGCCAGGGCTACAATAGCTTCTTTTAAGCTAAAGAAGTATAGTCATTGTCATGTCAGGGCCTAGATAGCTGTGATGAAGTCAAAGAGGAGGAATTTCACAGCTGAGCTTGGCCTATTTTAGGAGTACATTGAGTGCTGTTTACATACCAAAGCAACACAAACACTTCCCAGTCACCTATTCTCACTTCTCACTCAGAAACCCAAGTCAGTGCTATCACATCATGAGCATCACCTACATTACTGATTTGTTCCTGAGTCCTCTTCAGCCTCTGTAGTTCAGGCGTGTCGGTAACGATGCTGAAGCCCCTTCCTTTGCTTTCTTCAAAATCTCTTTTGTACTTGACCTAACAGGAGGGGGACAAAAAAAAGAAAAAGGAAACTAAACGGAGGAGTCACAAACCCCAGTCAGGATAGACCAGGGCCCAAAAAGCTGCTGACACTTGGAGGCAGTACCTCCAGACACAGCTTATCTGCAAGCGCACAGCGAGAGGCCAGGGCACAGCCAGACCACATGGTTGGTATCCCAGCCCCTGGGCTCACTGTGTGATCTTAGGCAAGTTATGTAACCACTCTGTACCTCAGGGGTCTCATCCATAAAATGGCAACAATAACAATATTTAAATAGTGCTATTTAATAGTTCCTAAGGATAGGATCAAGTCCACTAATACAGTTCTTGTATCTAGCCAACCGCAAGCAAGCAAGTGCTCCGTAATAGTGATTATGATCATCATCATCAATAGTTATACTACTGCTAAAGAAAAGGAAAAAAGAAAACCATGGTAAAAGAAAGCTTGACCTTCTGCTCCTGTACCTGTTTTGTCAGTGACAAAGCATTCTTTTGAGCCTGGACAGCAATATGAAGGAGGAAAACGTACGGAGTCATCAAGAGCCAGCCCCGTCCTTACAAAGTTTTCATACGGCAAGGCATGTGGATATGATTACACACTGTTATATTGCTAAATGTCAAGTATGTAAATGCTTATGGAAGTATTTATAATGTAGGCCACACCTCGAGATTAAAAGGCTTCAAGCGCATACCTTTAGCAAACTGTGTGCTGAGGTACCTAAGATTTTTTTTTCACTGTTTAAATACACTTTGTTTCTAATTACAACCCAGTGAAGCTGAATTTTACAGTTTCCTCGAGGGACTGAAATAGCTAACGCTTAATCTTACTAGAGCCCCATCTCCTGTTATTAGCATGATGCTAATAACTGTCACACCAGTTAAATATTCTGCTTGTCAGTGACTGAGATGGTTATATCACTCGGACTGTTCTCGCTTCTTTAAAAGCCTAAATACTAAGAAATATGAAAACACAGTTTCACTCACCCATTTTACATTCATAATTATCAGTTTCAAATTAAAACTTTTATTCATGATTAACATTTAGAATGGCTAATAAAAATATGATTCAGTAAGTGTAACTTTCACTACAAAGTGTAAAAGTTTACTTAGTTGAGCATGGAATGACTGTTTTTGTTGGGTTCTATCTGTATTTAAATGTCCGGTTATCTCAGGTATGGCTGTCCTCGAGACTACTGGAAGATTTCCTTTTACTTGAAAAGATTGGTAGAAAAAAGAAAAAAAATCCCAGATGACAACAAATAGAAAGATATAGATACTCTCCTTACTTTCAGCTTTAAAATATCTTAATTTAAGATAGTAAAATAGTAGAAGTAAGAAAGATGACAAGGTTATGATAGCAACAGGCATGAAGAAGTAAGAAGAAAAAACTATAAGCCCGTTTCTAACATCATTAATGCCAATTTCAGAGAAAGCACAATCACATACTCTTTCTGGGATTAGTTTGTTTTAGTGGTTATTTGCAAAGAAAAACCATTAAATCCCAGAATCGTAGGTTTTACCTTGATTACCACTAAACAGCCCTTTCCATGTTCACACAACACATAAGAGCCATGATTCGGCTTGCCTCGAATACACAGAAGAGGACACAATCATCTTCGTGAGTGGTCTGCAGAGTTTCAGAAGATGTGTCATCCTTTCTCATGGTGTGATCCACAACCAAACCTCGGAGTCTCAGCACCAGGTCAGGCACCGACCCACCCAGACCCTCCCTACAGCACACAGGGAGCCACGAGCCATCAGTCAGTGCCTGTTTCCCATGCTTCCACCCACTTAAACCCTAGCTCTCTGCTAGGTCTAGAATACATGGAACTTGGTGACAAGGTCAAAATCTTATTCATCTTGGTGATCCCAGAACCTAGCATAACACCTGTGGGAGTTGATTAACAAATGACTATGAAAGAGAAAGAGTGAGGGAGAAAGGGAGCGAGAATGAAAAGGGATGGAAACAGAGAGGGAGAAAGTCTGGCCCAGTTCCAGACGTGAGAGAGGAACCTCACATTCAGGAACTGGAAAATGGATCCATTTTGCTGCAGCATCTGGTGAAGGGGAAAGACCCAGGACATAAGCTAAGAAGCCCGGATCTAGACCAGACTTGGAAAGAAATTGCTGGCCACAGTTCCTGTCTTAATCCATCCAGGCTGCTACAATAAAAATGCCATAGACAGGAGGGCTTACAAACAGCAGCAATGTATCTTTCATAGTTCTGTAGGCGGGGAAGTCCAAAACCCAGGCGCTGACCAACTGGGTGTCTGGTGAAAGCCTGCTTCCTGGTTCGTAGACCACTGTAACCCCAATGGTGGAAGGGGTAGGGGGTTCTGTGGGGTCTCTTTTAGGAGGATACTAATCCCATTCTGAAGGTCTCCACCCTCATGACCTAATTACCTCCAAAAGACCCCACACACACATGCTTCCTAATACTGTCATATTGGGGATTAGGTCTCAACATAAGAATCTGGGGAGGAGGTGTGGGGGGAACACACACATTCAGTCCATAGCAAGCACTTTGATACATAAGCATTCAACATTAACTCAACAGTACTCACTGAACCTCATATAAACTTCTCTTAGAAACTCCTCTCTCCTCAATGAAAATGCCTTTTCTTTCCTTATGCTTCAGGACTGGATACAAAATTATCATCATCTTTGGTCCCTTGTCTACCCTCCTGTTAAAAATCACTTCATGATGATCCCAGGAATAACAATGATGGATTCTCAGAACGCCACTCTCCGGAATCTCCTCCTCAAATGTTTATTTATTCAGTCTTTGATCTTCCAAAAATATTTGTTGAGCACATACTATGTGCCAAGTACTCTTCCAGGTGTGGGAACAATGAAGAAAAAAAAAAAAAGAGTCAACAATCCCACTCCTCATGAAGCTTACATTACAGTGAGAGAAATAGAAAAGACACACGATCTATATAAGTTGAATAAACAGTATGTTAGTGGTAAGTCCAAGAGAAAATAAAGCTAGAAAGGAAGTGAGAAGGGTTAGGAATGCTGCTCTTTTTAAAATTTAATTTATTGGGGTCACATAGATTAATAAAATTATACAGGTTTCAGGTTTACAATTCTACAATACATCATCTGTATATTGCATTGTGTATCCACCAAGTCAAGTCTCCTTCCATCACTACCATCTCCTTTTTACCTTCTTCAACCTCCCCCGACTTCCCCTTCCCTCTGGCAATCACCATACTATTATATGAGTCTATGAGTCTTTCTTTTTTTCCTTTGCTTAATTTGTTCACCCTTCTCACCCAGCCTCCAGCCTCCTCCCCCCCCCCAGGGTAGTCAGGGAAGGCCCCATGAAAAGGTGATATTTTAGTAAGATGTAAAGGATGTGAGGACTGTACACAGAGCAGCAACATGCCGGACTTCTGGTTTACTAGGCTCTTTTTGGCCGCTGTATTGATCAACTGAAGTGATCAGGACAGAAGAAGGAGACCAGTTAGGGGGCAGATCATTTTGTTCCTTCTTCCTCAGTTAGCCACTATTAAAGCATCATCTGAAGACCAAAAAGACAGAGAGAGTCCTTGGGCTCAGCCCTGGACTGCAGCCGTGCCAGCCAGGTGAGCTGGATACTCTTGTCAGAACCGGCTGGGAAGAAACCTGGAGAAGGGAGTACAGAATCAAGATGCACTGAGTTCAGAAAGAGAAGGCACTCTACCTGGAAAGTAATGCAGTCTTTGTTTCTCATGGGCTTATCCCTTCAAAAATGAATAAAGGCACATTGAAAATGCATTCTTTTTTTTTTTTTAATTTATTTATTTATTTTTGTTACAGATGTTTCTCCTTTTCCCCCCACTGATTTGCCCCTCCCCCTCCCTTCCTGCCCTATCCCCAGCTTTGTTGTCCATGTGCATTGTTCATGAATACATGCATATAAGTTCTGTGGTTTATCTCTCCCTCACCTCCCACCATTCTGGGGATTGTCAGTCTGTGCCCCACTTCCACCTTTCTGGGACTACCCCATTCCTCAGACTGTTATGTTCATTATATTCCACAAATAAGTGAGATCATATGATACTTGTCATTCTCTGTTTGGCTTGTTTTGCTTAGGATAATACTTTCCAGGTCCCTCCATGTAGTCTCAAAGGATAAAAGATCTTTCTTTCTTACAGCTGCATAGTACTCCATTGTGTATATGTACCACTGCTTTTTTATCCATTCATCTACTGATGGACACTTGGGCTGTTTCCAGATCTTAGCTATTGTAAATAGTGCTGCTACAAACATGGGGGTACATATATTCTTTCTGATTGGTGTTCCAGGCTTCTTAGGGTATATTCCTAGAAGTGGGATCACTGGGTCAAATGGAAGTTCAATTTTTAATTTTTTGAGGTAACACCATATTGTTTTCCATAGTGACTGCACCAGTCTGCATTCCCACCAGCAGTGTGCTAGAGTCCCTTTTTCTCCACACCCTCGCCAACACTTGTTGTTTGATGAAAATGCATTCTTAAAGTCAAATGTAGCCCTGGCCGGTTTGGCTCAGCAGTTAGAGCATTGGCCCACGGACCAGAGAGTCCCAGGTTCGGTTCCCGCTAAGGGCACATACCTCGGTTGCAGTTTGTCCCCGGCCCCACTTGGGGTTGTGTGGGTGGTGACCACTAGATGTGTCTCTCTCACATCGATGTTTCTCTCTCTCTCTCTTCCCCCTGGCTCCCTCCCACTCTATCTGAAGATAAATTCAAAAATGTCCTTGGGTGAGGATAAAATAAAATAAATAATGATAAAAGTTAAAATGTAAGAAATATACACAATAGGCCATATGATTTGCCATATTTTTCTTCAGAAGTAACATAAAAATGTATTTCAAATACTGAATGCTACCTAATATTGACATAATCCATATGTGTGTATCTGCATATGTACACACCCACATAAATATTTATCTTCCAGAACTACAGATTAGAACACTAAATCAAGAGTCAAAAGGTCGGAATTTAAACCCTAATTCTGTTCTGTGATCTTGATTTGTTCAGTTTCTCTAATACTCCTGATACCCAGCTATAAAATGAAAAAAGAAAATAAAAGCAATATGCTACACAGTGTTTGGAGGGTTAACATAAATGATATGAAAACATCAAACAAAGACATGCCCTTAATGCAGGGGTGGGGAACCTTTATTCTGCCAAGGGCTATTTGGATATGTATAACATCATTCATGGGCCATACAAAATTATCAACTTAAAAATTAGCCGGCTAGCCTGGCCGGTGTGACTCAGTGGTTGAGCGTCAACCCATGCACCAGGAGGTCGCCGGGTCAATTCCTGGTCAGGGCACATGCCCAGGTTGTGGGCCCAGTCCCCAGTGGGGTCGTGCAGGAGGCGTGCATCTCTCTCACTGATGTTTCTATTTCTCTCTCCCTCTCAATTCTTCTCTCTCTAAAAATCAATAAAGAAAAAAAAGAGTTTTTAATTAGCCTGCTATATTTGATCAAACATTTAATTAACTCACCCCCTAATATTATGGCTGGAACTGCTTCTCTTTGATGAGGTGTGTGCTGTCAGCTGGGATTGATGATGTTGCCACTCTCAACTGCTTTCCACGTGTGCGTCGGTCAGTCTGGAGCGCAGTCAACTCTGTGATGGTAAGTTTTAAAAGACCTGCTCACAGTACGTTGTTCCCAACACAGATGCGTATTTCGATGCATGTCTCTTCAAAGTGGGAAATTCATCATTGCTTACGGAACATTTATAGAACTCAAGCAGTGGGAGGTTGCTGTACCTCGCTTTCAGCCTATCATCGCTTTGCAGCTGAATGATTTCGTGTTGTAGGTTATCAGGAACATCAGCTGGTTCCACGTTGAACAGTGTAGCAAAGATGTTCAGTTCCATTTGTTGACCTTTCACATCCTGGAATTTTCCTTAAATGTCTCAGTTAGTTTCGCACATACACCAGCATATTTAGGTGTCGTAGAAGGCTTTTGTCCTTCCAGAGTGAGGAAATGCACCATGTTATTTGTGTTATTCCTTTCGAGTTGCGCTTACCACAGCCTTAATTTAGCTTCAAATGATTTCACGTTTGGAAGCAAGGAGCTGAGAAGCTGGTTGGGGCTCTGCAGCTTAACGTTGAGCTCTGAGAGGTACTTGGTAATGTTCACCATGAACGCTAAATCACACAGCCACTTGCTATCATTGAGTTCCCTGACAGGTTTTTCCCTTCATCTCCATGAACTGCATGACTTCATCCCACAGTTTGTAAAACATCATGAGTATGTTCCCATGACTCAGCTACTGCACTTCACAGTGAGAAACAAGATCACTGTACTCAGAATCAAGATCATTCAATAACTCTTTAAACTAGCAGCTGTTAAACCCTCTGCTTTTGACAAAATTGATGCATGACACTACTGTTGACATCACTTTGTTGAGCCGCAACAACTGCACAGAGACTTCCTTGGTGTGTGATGCAGTGGCATAGAGTTAAATCACTTGGATCAAGATTGAGATGATTCAGTTCTTTATTGACAAATGCTATTAACCCTTTTTGCGAGCCAACCATGGCTAGAGCTCCATCTGTAGTAAGGCCACTTAATTTTTCAAATCTTAGCTCCAGTTTTTTCACTCATGAAACAAGTCTCTCAAACAGGTCCTCACCTCCGGTAGTGCCATGATGGCTTCCCATGACAGCAGTTCC